GTAGCAGCAGCCAGGCACGACGACAAACTGCCTGGACAAACCACGGCAGCGTCTATGAATATCCTGACAAACAGCTTAGGAGGAGTTCAGGCAGAGCCAAGACGGGACGGCAACATCCCATCACCTCTTCCACCCCCTTTAGAAGAGGGTATAGAAGTGCCAGAAAGCTTTTCTTCCTGTGTGAGATTTACAGGCACCCTTAGTTTGTTTATGAAGGAGCGTATTGCGATGGTGCAGAGCATGATTTTCAAGACTCATAAGCACGCTGTTGCACAAACAGCACACAAAAGACCTTTGTGCATATTTTTATTACGCTACCAGGTGTGGGTCACGGGAATAAAGGAGGAAAGCCCCTAGGAAGCAGGCGGGGGCTATTTTGTTTCTGTATGGCTGCTAAGAGCAGAGCAGCTTGTGTATGTTTAGCATCTTGTTGCCTACACCACTTGCAGAGCTTACCCATTATAATATCCTCCAGATAGCCAACAACCGCATCAAACTCTGCGTCAGAAGGGGAGGAGCTGAAAGAGAAGACAGACGGCACTGCATAAATAAATATTTTGACCACAGCAGAAATAAAAGTTAAAAATAAAAAGCATTAACAAAAGCCCGAGCACAAATAAGCACAGTAATTACAAGAGAAGTGAATAATTTCCTCGTTTCAACCTACAAAATAAGCCACAACACTGACAATGAGGCAGCTTCAGCAGGGGTTCTCATCAGGCCTCTACTGTACTTCCCCCCTCAGTAAGGTGCCTAGCTGAAAAAAAACCAACGTTGTCTTACTGGCATTATGGCCAAGGTAATCCCAGTCCCAGTGCAGGATGCAAAGAGTGTAATTAGAACAGCAAATTAAGCGTTTTCCAAGCCACAAACCCCAGCTGCCACCACAAGCTTTCCTTCTGCTCTCTTCCCTGCATAACTCTACGTGGTGATCACAGAACTCCAGACACCCTAGAGAATATTTCCAAGCACTCAGCCTTGTGGAACCACTTAAACTCAGTGTATGCACAGTATTATATAACTGAGGAAATGTAAATATTTTTCTTACGCAAGAGATATCCCTGCATGCCACAAACAAAGGGCATCATCCGCTAAGGTCATTCGATTGTGAGCAAATATTGAACATCACTATGGATCTGACGTCATCCAGGGAAGAAACCTTTGGTACCAGCATTTCAGGACTCTGGATCCCTCTGCCAAATCTGGTATCGTGCATCTTGTTCAGATACGTTGCGTAATCCACAGGATCTCCTTGGCCCTGGCGTTCAGAGCTCACCTTTAGTGGGGAATGAACTCTTCCTATACTCTCCAGGAGGTGAAAGACAGGCTTTCCTCTTACACAAGGGAAATGAGCCTCACAGGAAATTTGTCTTTAAAAGTCCGCTTTGATCAGCAAAAGCACTATTTAAATTAAATTAAACGTCTATTTCTCTTCCAAATTTCCCTTTAGTAAACAGAGCAGAACACCCTTGCAGATTAAGTTTTAAAAAAACCTCATTAAAGTTATTTTGCCATAGAATAAGAGTCCAGTGAAATTAATCCAACACCAGTTTCACCGACAGTTTAACTATAACGAGCCACAGGGCTCACTCTGACCAGGACAAACGAAGGGACACATGGTTTAAAAAGGTACGAAATCACCAAGCCACGTTCCAGCAACGCTTCTGATATGTTGGGCCTTGGGAGATGAGCAAAGCCAAGCCAAGACAGGCGTGCTCTTCCACCAGAGGGCAGGATGTCACCAGGAAAGGAGCTGTCCTGGCACCGCCGAAGCATCACGTACCCCAAGCACCACACTCAGGACTTCAGGCAACAGGGCTCATCGCTTTCCATGTACAGGCGAGGGCAGGAGGCTTTCCTACGGATAATTTCCACTCTTCTTTTTCCCCTCCAAACAGTGCTCTGGTTGGTTTTATAGGTATTCTAACAGCAGCAGGAAATGTATTAATTTAAACCCCGGGTTAAGCTTGCTGCAGAAGGAGCCCAGGCATGGGGCCATTTGTGACAGTCTGTAGACGGAAATACCTACCATGGGCTGGAGCAATAGAGGCACAGGCACACATCCCCTTCTGCCACAGGCTTGAGGAAAAGAGTATGCCAGACAAATGTGGAGTGAAGCAGTGCCTTAGCATCCACCAGGTTAAACTCTGGTTGAGGCTACCCGTAAGAGGAGTCTCTTGTCTAGAAGGGGCGCGTTCAAACACAGGGGAATAGTCTCTTCATCGAATCCGCCGTGTAAGACAACACACTCTCTTGACAAGGAGAAATTTTGAATTTAAAATTAACACACACACCCCAGTTTTGAGCCTTACAGTGTTTATTTTGATCACTCAGCCAGGGCTAGCTGGTGCTAGGCTCATTGTGGACGTATTTAGTTTGACTTCACCTAAACTCTGAACCAACATTATCCCCTCCCGGAGCTTTGCCTAGGAGGCAGAAGATGCTAATCAATATACAGTAAATTCATTCGTGCAATTATATTCCCATTAAGGTATTTTAACTAGTCATTAGCTTACCAAAAACCTGACACAGATCTAGCATACTCACGTGGCCACACTGAAGTTTTCTTCATCAGAAGTCTCCATCGTTACTGCATAACCAGGCCGGAGGAGAGGCAATCCGCTCTACAGCTGCCGTTAGGGGTTATTTCTCCTTTTTGGACAAAGCACTAAGGAGTAAGACGTGACTTGGCATTAACACAAATCCAATCGCTAAGTTACCATGCACTGCTCAAATCAGGAGAGAATAACTTTTAGACACAGGAATTGCAAAAATCACAGTCTTCCACAGCTACTGCTATGTCTCTTCCCTATTAATTCAGATCCTCCAGGAACTTTCTCCGCCTTCTCAGAGAACAGGCTCAAACCTGTCCACGCCTGCAGTTAGACGCTGTAAAGGGCTTTGAGGTGACCTTTGCATTTTTTTTTCTGAAGCATCTATGACCAACCATTATGAAGACAGAAGAAGAGGAAGCCAGGTAAGACGAAGATGCTAGCCCAGTCCAGCACGCCCCAGGAGCTCGCAGGCCGGCTGTCAGATAGCGAGCCCGTGCCAGGCCGGGACCTGCGTGGCCAGCGCTGGCCCATGTCCTGGCCAAACCCTCGGCCCGCGGCTGCAAGCAGTTCCTGACTCCGCACACGGGTCAGGGCACACGGACCCCAGGGCCCCTGGGGTG